GGGCGGGGGGAGGCAGCCCCACGGCAGAGCAGCGCCGGCAGGCAGCGGGGCAGCATCTCCTACCTTGTCAGAAATGCCCCCTGCGCTTCGTTGTCTCACTGCTTGGCTTTCACAGGCAGGGTTTCACCCCTTTACCCACTGAAACAAAAGGGTCTGCGCAGAGGTAAAGGGGAAAATATTTTAATCTCAAAGGATGTGGTATAAATATCCCTGTTGCATGTTAGAAGAAAGGCTGTCTTTTGCTCTGTGGCTTAGTTTTCCGTGTCTTTTGTGTCCTCCATGTGTGATTAGGTGAGATCTCTGCCCCGCTTCACCTGCCTTTTTTTTCCTTTATAGTTTCTCTAAAGCAGAAGGAAGCCTGGAATATTCCCTTGTGCTTCCTGAAACTGTTATCTGCAAAGTTGTACCACAGCACTCTCTGAGATTAAATATGGATTGAGGCAAGATCGGAGACTGGGTGTTTATGTTTTCCCATCAGGATGCAAAATCTTGCCAAATGAAAAGGCATGTTTCATTTTAAAATGAAAATGAAAATCTTCCCCTCTTGCCTTACCTTTAACTCTTCCAAGATGTGTTACAATAAAAAGGTCGTAAATGAGCAATAATTCTTAAGCTAAAACTTCAAATCCTTCCAGTGAAGCTTTTAAGATTTTTACATCATTGGAGTGAGGTGCTGAATTAGCTAATTAATCCCCTAAACACCACAGTGACTAAGCTAATGTCTAGTCCCATTCGGAAGGGAACAAAGCAAACAAAGCAGTTAAGTGTCCCTCTCTGGACAGGGAATTGATACAGAAATCAGGATTAAAATCTCATGAACCTCGGCTTCTGATTTTCTCTTGAGGCCACTTTCCTACTCACAGAAGCCAATTCATTTGCCAGTGCTAGTGCATTTTCCTTATTAATTATGATTAGCTAATCTTTGGGAGGCTGTTGGCATTTTTAAATACAAGACTTGAGACACGCCAGCAGACATAAGATGGAAGTATCTTTCCTCTAGTCCACATATGCTTTAAAACGTGAAGCAGCAGAAAGAGTCTTAAATGCATTTGCCAAGGTAGCTGTTTTCCCCTTAAGAAGCCATCGTAGTTACACATTGCCAAATATGGAATTGTTTGCATCTGGAAGCAGAGAGATGGAGCGGAGGAGGAGGAGGAGGAAGGCAAGCAAGTTGTATCTGCTGATACCGCTGGGCTGCGTCAGGGCTGAGGCACCAAACCATTTCCCTTCCTGACCAAGCACTCAGACACTTGAATGCCCATCGGCCAGCAATCATAAACTGGGTGCGCAGACTGCAGCTGGGACTACAGTGGCCAAGCAAATCAGCTGTCCAAACAGGTCTCAGGCTGTGAGTGCAACCAGCAAGCACACTGCTAACTTTGCAAGCAGATGTAAACTGAAAGCCCCTACAGCTATGACAGCATAACATAAGTAAATTACAACAAGCATTTCTTCTATCTTCCCCACGAAAAATACGCAAAAGGCAGTAAAATATGTGATTATTCTAAATTATGAATTAATACAGCCTCTTTGAGGACAGAGGGGAGGTGGTGGAGACATGATGTCCTATGCTACCTAAGAGTCTGTTTGTTCAGCCTCATGGGTCCATTGCAGACAGCCGGCCAAGCCATGAAGCCCACTGGCACCCAGAGCCAGCAAGGCCTTCCCAGAAACATCAGAGGTGGGAGCCAGGGTGCAATGCAAAGGGAGACGAGGCACCAACACCCGTAGGGTAAGCAGAAGTAATTTGAGCACACAGACATCTTGTTAATGAACTTCCCACTGACTACCCAATGTCTGAAACTCCACAACAGAAAGCATTGATGCTGCAAGGAAATCACACCTGACGAGCTGCCCTGTTACAGGTGGAGGAACAGCAGAAGCCCAAATTACTGCAGTCAGGGGCAGCATGTGAAGCAGCTGTTGCTGCTGGTCATGGTCCTTACCCTACAAAAGCCTGGACCCAGGGAGGGGCTAGGAAACACCCCTTCCTCTTCCCACAAGCCTGGAGGTTATTTAAGATGTTTCCCTATAGCACTGGGAGTCAATAAGTCAGTGGGATGGTGCCTTCTTTCCTGCTCCAGGAAGGGGAAAAATGGGACTGTGCCATGACTCAGGAGCTGGAGTGCAGCTACAGGTAAGCATAAGCAAAGATGTGAAGGAGAGTGGAATGAAATTTGAGGTATCTGTGGGAGCATGGAAGGCTGTTGGATCAACAGTGGGAGATGTAGTTAATGGGTGTGTATTTTGTGGGGATGAGATGTACCTTTGTAGCTGTATTGTGTCAGGAGAGTGCTCTGTGTGGGGACATGTCTGATGTGCCTTTGAATTTTTTAAGTATAAATGATTATTAGCTGTTGTTAAACAATGTTGGCAGGTATATGAGGCAGATGTTGTGGATGTGCTGAAAATGCATGAGACATGCTGGTTCTCACTTGATTGAGTCAGAAAAACTGTATGAGAAGGGTAAGAAGGATTGCACTTCTTTCCTTGGTATTAGCGTGAATGTGGTATCTGTTGGCTGAGACATCCTTAGGTTCTAAGTGTCCTGAACTCATTTTTATATTCTAGTTTGAACTGTAAGGAGATATTTGAGTTGTGGAGGCCTTTCATCCTTGGCATTGATCAAAATGCTAAGCTGTAGCCCTCTGCATTATGATGGTGGAAAGAGAACTACTAAAACTTGCCTGAAAAAGGGCTATAGAAGTGTCTGCTGATGCTGAAAACCGTTCCCCTCTGCTTACATGGGTAGAGCTGGGCTGTGGAAAGGGCGCTATTAACAACGTGGTAAAAACAAAGTTGAAAAGTGTTAATGCTCAGGCTTGACTATCTACTAAAAGTTTCCTAAAGTATAGAATTATTTGTGTCTTTGCTTGAAAAAATACATGCTAAGTAAAACCCCCTGGAAGTGTTCTGGCCAGTGTGAGTCCTCACCAGTGTTCCCAGTCTCCACCTGGCTGGAACTCACTAGGGCTTAGGCTGCATCAGAAAGAACCTGCTACCACAGGTTTATCACCTAAACACTCTGAGATGAGTGCTTTCTTTCCAAGCTTACTGTGGCTCCCTGAACAGAAAAGGCTGAGCAACTTTCAAGTGTTGAAGAATTTGTGCTGGCACTACGGGTTGGGGCGAGTGCTTGGTCCAGTGTATGGAGTCTGCCATTTACACAGCAATTCTTTGACCTTTAGTGAGGTCTTTAGCTGGACTTGTATCTCTTGAAATGTAAAGAAAGCAGAGATGGTAAGACTGCAGCATCAGCAAGGGTTAGGTGTCTCAACCAAGAGAATATGCAACCTGAGTTGTCAGTGGCATACCCTACATACTCCCCCTTGTAG